ATAACTATTTTTTTAATAGTCGTAAAACATGATAATATTTAAAAATAAAATTATTCATTAATATACGAAGGGTATACAGGGTGGCCCACCACTCACTGACAACTTAAATAACTTTTGATCCAGTTAATATTTTTAGTTGATTTTTTTTTTAAATAATAGTTATACGTTAGGTCTATAGCTATATCTCAATAATTAATTTTTTTACATTTTATTAAAAATATTCATTATTTTTAAATTTTAAATAAAAAGTAAAAAAAAAATCTAAGATAACTATTTTGTAGAGTAGAATTTAAGAAAAATGTTAGTAAAAAAATATCTTATTAATATTGAGTAGTAAATATTCTGTAGCGTTTTGAAGTTTGTGAAAATTTGAATTTTCATGTATTATTTTACGGTATTAAACATTGAAATACGTATTGAGAAAAGGACAGAAGAAAACGCTATCTTTTCATGATTACTGTGTATACATATGATGATAATGTGTATACATTACAAACTTGGCATTAATACCATGATAAGAAATTAGATAAGGCAATTATTACTTATCACTCTCATTCAAAAGTATATTGAAAAGATAGCGTTTTCTTCTGTCCTTTTCTCAATACGTATTTCAATGTTTAATACCGTAAAATAATACATGAAAATTCAAATTTTCACAAACTTCAAAACGCTACAGAATATTTACTACTCAATATTAATAAGATATTTTTTTACTAACATTTTTCTGAGATTCTACTCTACAAAATAGCTATCTTAATTTTTTTTTTACATTTTATTTAAAATTTAAAAATAATTAATATTTTTAATAAAATGTAAAAAAATTAATTATTCAGATATAGCTATAGACCTAACGTCTAACTAATATTTAAAAAAAAATTCAACTAAAAATATTAACTGGATCAAAAGTTATTTAAGTTGTCAGTGAGTGGTGGGCCACCCTGTATATTGGATACTATACGTGAGTGACACTGAAATTTTATAATCACTTCTCCTTTTATTTTGTGTACTTTTTTGGGGACAATTCGTTTTTAATTTTGACAAACCTGACCAATAACTGATTTCAGTGGCGAAACGAAAAAAAAAATTGACCACAATATCTCTTGAATGGGTTTCTTTTTTAAAAGTTTGATACGAAATTATTAATTTTTCAAAACTAAAAATACTTGGAATTTGTGATGTTCAATCGTGTGATTGAACCAAACGATAAGTACGTACGTCAATTTTACTTTGATAAATAAACACTGTAATGAAATTAAAAAAATGTGTTTAACTCTGAGATAAATAATTTATTTTACAATATGATTTCAATTTTGGCAGTAGTTCGGAAAATCCGTTGAGAAAATATTTTACCTGTTATCTGTTGACTAGATAAATTTCATCTTATTGTAAGTGTCTTGGAATAAACATTTTTTTTTACTTTCCCGTGGTGTTTAATGTGAACTCACACTGCTCATGTGTATATCTATTTTCCATAATAGGTCATCTGAATATCCTTAGCATTACTGTTTGTGTGAATAGTAAGGTTCCATTGAGCTTCGAAAGGACGTACACGTTTTTTTCAACTTCTATTGTGTGTGTTTCAAGTATTATGCAAGTCGGTTATTCAGTAAAAATTGGTGACATTATCACGAGGTAAAACGTGATGGATCCTTTTAATTCAGGTAATCGCGAAAGATCGAACATTGCGCAATGTTGATTTGTGTTTGAAATAGAACTAGACGGGTATCGTTACGCAACTGTCAACAAGGGTCAAAAAAACTATATGAATATTCTTATTCATAAATACCGATCACTGTTGTCCAAACACGGGGTCGCTTTCTAGGTAAGTGATATGAGATTCCCAAAGGTAATAAAAAGTGCTAAACCTATATGAATGAACACATTGCGTTATGAATGGCCCGTTCTCTATAAACCTCAAAATTATTGCCTGCTTCCGGAGATGATTTCAAGTTGTTTTCACTAATAAAAATAAAATAAAGATAACCTAACAATTTTTTTACAAATAAAAAATGATCTCTGTTATAGCAATACTTTGGCATGCATTTTAAACGAGAATAACAGTCAAATTTTGAACCCAGTAACTTGTTTAATTCTGTGGTGCTCGGGTAAAAGATATTAAATACAAAAATTGAGTAAATGAGAATAAATAATATCATAACATCTAAAAAAAAATACTCTTTTTTTTTGTGGTATAAAGATCTATGAAATTATTAATTTTGAACTTACACCCTATTATCCGAGCACCACAGCATTACCTTGTTAAATTTATCACGAGTGTATTCAACTGAAAAAGAATTCTTGTGTACTTTACATCTTTGTTTTGTTGACTTAAGAGGCTTACACACTAGGCGTTCAATCGCGCGCGTACGACTTTTTAAAAACGCGGCAATTTTAAACGCAATTTTACTGCAAGCGTTTTGACGCGTTTTTCCAAAAGCTACAGTATAATTACAACAGTTTCGAAATTCCTCTTGGTAGCATTTGCTCGGATTATTTTTAGCTTCGATGCGAAGCGGAGAAGGTATTAATTTTACTATGATGTGTTTTTTTTTTTTTTTATGTCTGTTGCCACTTTTTCTCAGCTCTCACTGGACCGATTTCTTTCAAAAATACGTCAAAAGATCACAAATCGTATCTAGTTGAAGAAATTACCCTTAAAAATAGAAAAAAATTCTCTTGTTCCCCGCAAATGGGGGAAATATCCAAAAAAATTACAAATTTAAAAATCGATAATTTTCGAAATGTTTTCACTTTTTTTTCTTAAAACTTCCATAACTTTTTGAAAAATCAACAAATCAACATAATTTTTTTTATACTAAAACCTTAGATATTTACCTTTCATTTGATATCATTTTTTTGAAAATCTATCACTTAACCTGCTCATTGGGGGGGATTTAAAATGGCAACTTTTTTACAAAAATTAATTTTTTCAACTTAATTTTTGAAAATGTTCCGGAAAGACTGCGTCCTTTAAACATATATCAAATTAAAGCTTATTTTATGTACTACAAAATGAAAAAAAAAAATTTGTCCCGACACTTTTTTTTCTACATTTAAACGGCTGCCGTAGTTAAAAAAACACTATTTTTGTGTTAAAATTTTCGATTTTCGATTTTAAATTTTCAACTTAAAAATGCTATAACTTTTTGAAAAATGTATATATCAGCACAAATTTTTTTTTTCTAAATACATTATAAGTACATCTTTCATTTGACATACTTTTTATTAAAATTGGACAATTTCCCCTTATATAGGGGGCGTTCAAAACTTAAAATATTGTAAAAAACATAGATCTTTTTCAACTGAACTTTTGAAAATGTTCCGGAAATACTGCGTCCTTTAAACATATATCAAATCAAAGGTTATGTTATATACTATCAAATGAAAAAAAAAAATTTGTCCCGACATCTTATCTTCTATGTGCAAATGGCTGTCGAAAATTTAAAAAAAAATGTAATGTTTGCGATAAAAATTACATTTTATCGGGATGTTTTTTGTACTTAAAACTGCCATAACTTTTTCAAAAATGAACAAATAAAAATAATATTTTTTTGTATTGAAACCTTAGATATTTCCCTTTCATTTGATATAATTTTTTTTGAAAATCTAACACTTATTCTGCTCACTGGGAGGATTTAAAATAGTAACTTTTTTACAAAAAATAACTTTTTCAACTTAATTTTTGAAAATGTTCCGGAAATACTGCGTCCTTTAAACATATATAAAATTAAAGCTTATTTTATGTACTACAAAATGAAAAAAAAAAATTTGTCCCGACGATCTATCTTCTATACGCAAATGGCTACCATATTGAAAAATATACTATTTTTGTATGATAATTATGGGTTTTGTATTTTATTTTAATAGAAGTTGATGTTGCTTTTGCAATTATCCATCAATTTTTTAAAATTAAACACTATCTACAGATTTGCATCGAAGCGTTTCTTATGATAGTGATTTTAATCACTGTCAGATTAAATCTATACTGGACCCAACTATGCAATGTCTCCACTATGCCGCGACCCCACTGTGCTACCGTTTTTATTTTTTTTTTAAAGTATTAAATATTATGAAATAGCTTTTTTGAAAACTAGAAAAAAAAAAAGTTAAATTAGACAAAATTTAAAATGCAGTTAAACAATGTAAAAAATATTTTTTTTTAATATTAGATTTTCACTTAAAAGTGTCATCAATGGGTGGCTTCTTTTATCAAGTATTCCACGTTATAATTATTTTAGCTAATACTCTTATTGTACCTATAGGGAACAGATTGTGTATATATTAATAAAGAAAAAAAAAAAAGTATTAAATAAGTTGCAATAGAGACATTAGATTATGTAGAAATTGCATGCGTTGTGTACGCTATGTATCATCATTGTACAAAAAAGCAAGTGTTCGTAGACATTAGGTTCACACCCGAAATTTAAAAAAAACCTCGAGAAAGTTAATTATTTAACTTTAATGAGTTATCCCAAAGATTTTTACAGGTATTACCATGTACACATACGGTAATACCTGAAGAAAAAACCCAACCTAAGCTAAATAATTACATAAAAATATTATTACATGATATTTTATGTTATAAATTATATCTTATAGAATATGATTTATTATAACATGAGAAGTTTAAAAGTATTAAATATTCGTTAATAATGTGAACTTTAACTCATTGAAATTTAGTCGGCAAATTTATCACTTACAGTTGGCAATTCAATCCACACCCTCCTAAAAATTATCTTTAAGATCACCTGTGTTGACATCAAAATAATATGTTAAAACTATTTTAATATTTGCTAAAACAGCTTTGTTATAAAGATATTGTGTATTGCGAGTATAATTTAAAAAAACTAGGATGGTCCTAATTTAAAAAAGGTATTCATAAGGATGTAAAAACATTTTAATTTTTTTTGTTACCACTTTTTCTCAGTTATCACCGAACCGATTTCTTTTAATGATACGTCAAAGATCACAAATCGTATCTAGTCGAAGACATTACGCTCAAAAATTGAAGAACTTTCCCTCGTTCACCGTAAATGAGGGAAATCTCTAAAAAAAAATAACAAATTTAAAAATCAGTAATTTTCGACGTTTTTAAAATTTTTTTTTACTATAAACTCCCATAAAGTTTTGAAAAATGTATGGATGATTACAATTTTTTTATGATATGTACTATTTATATACTACTTGTATTTGACATAATTTTTTTTTTTATTCAGACCATTTCCCTTTTGACAGGGGTGGTTCAAAACTTAAAAATGCGTATAGAATGTAGAACTTTTTCAATTCATTTTTAATGTAAATATATTAATTGATTATTCTCATACGCAACCTAATAATTAAACATAAATATTTGTTATATTAATTAGAAGGAGTTTGTTAATATTTAGGCCTATGAAAAACTCTAATTGCAGATTTGAAATCGTTGCAAAAATGGGTTTTGTAGTATAATTTGATCTCGGATGAAAATTCTTTTTAGACCAGCAAATTTTTTTATAAATAACAAACAATTTTTTTTTTTAGTATTGCAACAAGACTTTCAACTTTTATGCACGTTTGCCATAAAAGTAATAACTACTTAATAGTTTTTTATAATTTATCCGTAAAAATTATAATACTAAGTCATTAAATATCAATTTCATAATATACTTAATTGATATAATAAAAATGTATTCATATATTAAACTTATAAACCAAAAAATTTTTAATCAGGATATAAATAAGGAAATAGGAGATCATATTGCATTTGGAATAATCCACTAATTTTTTAAAATTAAACACTATCTACAGATTTGCATCGAAGCGTTTTCTATAATAGTGATTTTAATCACTGTCAGATTAAATATAAACTGAACCAACTATACCATGTTCCCACTGTGTTTGGTTTTTTTAAATATTAATACTTCCCACAGAAAGTTAAAATAAAAAATTTCCAATAAAATGTCCGACGAAATTTAATTTTTATGATTTATATGATATAAAGTTAATTAAAAACTATAGATCTATACTAATAATAACATTCAAATATTTAAAGTATACAATAATTATATAAATTGAAATGTATTAAGCTAATACATGTATAATCGTATTAATTTTATTAATATATGAAGTTTATTATATATATATATATATATAATATATAATTGACTTTTCCAAATATATAATATTAATAAAATTTTTCCGTATCAAAAAACATGGTGGATGAAGACAAAAGAAAATGAATCCAAATTATACATTTAAATTAATAATAAATTGAATGAGCCCTCACGTGCCTGAAAATCGCGGCGTTTAATCGCCCCGTGTGAATGATAACATGCGATTTTTATTGTTTTATTTTAGCGATCGGTCGCGTCCGAATGCATGTTTTTTGTGTGCATGGTTCTCAATTGTTGTAATTATTTTATATAAAACGATTAATCGCTGCGTTTTTAAAAACGCGTACGCGCGCTTAAACGCCTACTGTGAAAGCTTTTTTAGTGTTTATTTTTTATTTTGCAATAATTTATCTGGAAACGAGATCAATATGTATATAATGATATATATGTACATAAGACAATACCTGCCCTATGTTTCAAAACTTAATTATTTACATTTTACAATCGGAAAAATAATTCATTTTTGAAGATTACTAAGTTGTGTGGGTTATACTATAAAAGACATACGCTTTTTTTTGTGAAAATGTAATCAATGATCTGTTTAAGTGATTACACTCAATAATACAAAAAAAAAGAACAAAATATATATTTTTTTTTATTGGGAATGTTTGAGTTGAATCTTAAAATGCCTCGAGTATATGATAAAAATATTATTATAAATCAGTAAATATTTAATGGTATGCATTAAAGAAATTATTGCATTAATTTTTATTATAATAGAAAACTAGTCTAAGAGAGAGCCACAAAATACATATTTCTCCGCATAAAAACATGACTCAAGAAAGAACAGATTTTGAAGAATTGGCCATAATTTGGTTATAAATAGTAGATATACAAAATTAAAGCTCATAACATAATCTATATTGATACACGAGCGATTTTTGTTAAGATATTTTAAAATACGCCATAAGCTATTGCAAAATTTAAAGATCTATTTTTTTTTAAATACTTATATCTTTTTTTCAATCGTTTTATAAAAAATAGCCTATACTAGGACGAAAGTAATATTATGATCTTTTATTTGATGTGTTGCAATGACAGTTACAAATGACTTTTAAAGAGGATTAAAAATGACAATTTGAAAAAAAAAAACATAGTAGGATTATAAAAATTTAATATTATAGATTATAGTTAATTTAATCTAAACGATGAGTTCTGAAAATTTTATTTGGTTAATGTGTTCTTTTAGTGTTTTAGGACACAAAGACTGTATAGCGCTATCTGTTGTATAATAATTAACACATATGAGTCAAGTTGTCGTTATCATCAGATAGCATTAATTTTTTATTCATCAACAATTTTAAATATAATTTATGTCATTTATATACAGCTAACTGCTTAGACAAAAAAAAATGTTTAATTGTATCATTCAAATAAATCACGAAGTACATAAAAGTTAAATATTGAGTGTGCACCAGAACAGAACATGCTATCAAAGTTTGATAAAAAATTGAAAAATTCTCTCTGAAAATTTAACCAACAATTAAATCTTTTTTTAGGTTCGATGCGAAGCTGAGAAGGTATTAATTTACTATGATGTGTTATTTTTGGTGTCTGATACCACTTTTTCTCAGATTTTATTTGTGTATGCGAATTCTCAATCTCAGCTTTCGCTGGACCAATTTTGATGAACAATAAGTCAAAACTTCACAAATCGTATCTAGTCGAAGAAATTACCCTCAAAAACTGAAAAAAATTCTCTCATTTACTGTAAATGGTGGAAACCTCCAAAAAAATTACAAATTTAAAAATCGCTTATTTTCGAAATTTTTTCAATTTTTTTTTCTGCCATAACTTTTTCAAAAATGAACAAATCAATATAATTTTTTTTTTATAGATGCTGATGTCTTTACATATCATTCTATATATTTTTGTGATCATTAGACCCTTTAACAGCCCACAGCAAGGGTTTCAAAATGGTAACTTTTTTTACAAAAAATTAACTTTTTCAATTAACTTTTGATAGTGTTCCGGAAAGTCTGACACTTTTATATACATCTTAAATTAAAGCTAATGTAATGTACTTTAATTATGCAAAAAAAAAATGTCTGATTTTATTTTGTCTTCACGCTGTTACCACTTTTTCTTAGCTCTCACCGAACCTATATCTTTCAACTATTCGTCAAATGATCACAAATTGACCCTTTACATGCCCTTAGGGGTTGATTCAAAATGACAACTTTTTCACAAAAATTAATTTTTGAATTGTATTCTGGAAAGTCTTACATTTTTATATATATCTTAAATTAAAGCTAATGTAATGTACTTTAATTATGCAAAAAAAAAATGTCTGATTTTATTTTGTCTTCACGCTGAAAATGGCTACGGAATACATTTTTGAGTGAAAATTCTCGATTTTATTTTTGACATATTTAACTTTATAATGGTATAACTTATTGAGAAGTGTATGGATCAATACAATTATTTTATGAGAAATAATATTTATATCTCTTTTTCATTCGACATAATTATTTTTTAAATAACACCATTTTCCTTTATATATTTATATATTATAAATATATTACACTTATAAATCATAAAACTTGATATCAGCATATAAATAAGAAAATAAGAGAACATGTAGCTTTTGGAATAATCCACCAATTTTTTTAAAATTAAACACTATCTACAGATTTGAATCGAAGCGTTTTTTATGATAATGATATTAATCACGTCAGATATCATTATACTTGATCCAACTATGCCACGTCACCACTGTGCTATGACCCCACTGTGTTGGGTTTTTTTTTAATTTTAATTTTTTAATTTTTAGTGTATTTGCGAAACGTTAGTTAATAACAAAGGTAAAAATACCGATTTGAGTATTAGAATTTAACTTATGTATAGATATAATAATTACGTCAGCGGAATAATTAAGTAAATATGTTGTATGATGAACACGTATACTTGAATAAAAATAAATTTTTTTTCCAAAAACTAATAAATAAATTTTTATTATATTAGAAAATTCATATGAATAATACTTAACATTCTTATTGGAACTAGTGTCGACATTTTTTTAAGTTGAACTCTGTAGGGAATCAATTTAATATAAATAAGAGGTAAAATGAAAAACTTTTTACTTTTTATATTGATTATAACCTTAAAATTAAGCTTAAGTGATTATACCAAAGAGGTACAGTGTTCATATTCTCGTTATTTTTTAAACTTTTTTAACCATAATGAAAGATTTTTGTTAGAATTCGAGAAAAATAATGATTATATAACGATAGAAAATCTTAAGAACTATGGCAATGCACTTCAAACGCACAGTAATGTAATTATGATATTTTTGTGTGACTATTTAAAATATAATACAAAAAAGTTTCCTTTTCCTTTAATAACGGTAAATATGTACTTAAATAATGTTTCTGACTCTTTAAATATGATTGCTCAAAACAAAGATGGTGAAAAAAATTATTCTAAAAAATTATTTGAGGGATATAAAATTATTCATTTCGCAGTTAAAAATCAACTAAAATCTTATATAAATAAAAATTGTGAAAACGAACAGTTTTATAATTGTCTGGTTAGTTGCAATCCTACAATCGGTGAAAACGGATATACTACTACAAATCTAATAAATATAAATAATGAACTTAAAGATAAAATACTGGATACTTTTGATTTTATAATACAAAAGAATTCATACAATAAATTTCATCCAAAAAATATTTTGTTTTACGATATAATGACCCTACAGATTCACAGCAATAAAAATAATACTATAAGCATAGATAATAGTCAACACATAGAACTAAATCTACTTCGATTCACTCCACTTGACTTTCAATGCTCTAAGAATAATCGTTTAACTATACAAGATATATTTCAGTATATGAAATATGATTTTAATTCTATGGATGTTTTACCGTACATAAAGTTGGTAATTTCGGCTACGTTTCGACCCTTAGCTATTCTTATTCGCAACTTCTTAATCTTAATTCAAGTTGCTTCTTCAGATAATTCTGATAATGTAGCAGTTTGGTTAAAATGGCAATTTATTGAGATGGGACAAAAAATAATAAAACATGTAAAGAAATTCATGACTCTCCCCCCATACCAATATAAAAATACATTTCTGCAACGTGACGTCTTAAACAACTTTGTTAAAGCTATTAAAAATTATATTATAAAAACAAGGATATCCAAAATTGATATTAAATATAATAATATATTACTTAAAGTACTTTCAAATTTCTTCATAAAAAACAAATTATATTTTACAAGTGATATAGTTCTAACCAATAAAAATATTACTGTGGATAATGCTGATGCCATTAAAAATCAATTAGAAAAAATCATAAAAAAAGTTGATATCTATATGAACGATTTAGAAAAATGGAGTACAGATTTTAATTTTATTGTACAAAAATTTAAAATCCGGGTTTTTAATATTTCAAAATATAAGAAATTTATTGACATTAAAGTTTTAGGTAAGTATAAATGTAGTTCATTTTCAATACTTCATATAATTTATAGATAATATAATCTGTTATATAATTAGCCCTTGTGTTGTCATCGGGCTTAATAAATTAAATATTGCAAATTTTGTAACTTCTATTTTTATTTGTTTCCATTGTTTAAATACAGAGTGATCAAAATATGGTATGACACTCATTTCCTCAGAGACTACTAAAAATTTGTAATTTTTGTGATGAGAAAAAATATCAGGTTCAAAAAACTATAACATTATATGTAGTTTATTAATTTGTTTAATGGGAACCTTTCTTTTTTAAATTTATAATATGAAAAAAAATTGCAAACAGAGAGATATAAAGAATAAAATATTTATTAATTTATAATTTCTTCAAATAACTATTTCATGTGAAGGGTGAATTTTTTTAATGGGATGTTAATGGAAAATAAGCAAAATGTTTTTTATGTTTTATTATAGAAATATTTAGAATGGGTAAAATTTGATCCTGAATTTCCTTTTAATAATATTTAATTAAAATTTTATTTTAAATCTTTATCATGTTTATGTTCAAAGCAGTTATTTGTGATTTATGCATTTTTAAAATCCTCATTTTATTTATTTTAGATCGTATTTGTAAAAGTGAGGCACGTTCTGAAATATATAATGCTAGTATGAATGATAGTAATAATATTAATATAGGATATTATGAAGATTTGAAAATTGTGGAACATAACTTAAAGGATCTAAAAGACCATAATGAAAATGATGAAGATACAAAAAACTCCTTTCAATATGAATCAACTTATGAACCTCTTTATATGATTGATTATTTGCCATACAACGCGTGGAATGATATAAATTAAAATGTTTTTATAAATAATTTTGTAAAATGTCATAACTTATTTACAAAGCTTTTTTCTTAGTAATTTGTTTAGTTTATTTTCTATTTGTTTATGCTAAAAGTTGTAGTTAATAATAAAAAATGCCATATATTAAATATTTCTTGCTCTTTCGAAATATGGTTATTTTAGATATTTAGTATAGGCGTCGGGTGAGTTATGGAGGAAGAAAAGTCCCTACTCAAATTTACAAATTAGTCTTCCAAAAATACATATTTCTTCGCATAAAATTATGTTTTAAGAAAGAACAGATTTTGAAGAACTGGCCATAATTTAACTAAATGTAAAAGCTTATGTAAAAGTTTTATTTTATGTTGTCTGGGTTATACTATAATAGACATACGCTTCTTTTGTGAAAATGTAACAATGAACTATATGAGTAATTACACTCAATAAAACAAAGAAAAAAATAAGATATCTTTTATTAGTTTCGATGCGAAGCTGAGAAGGTATAATTTTACTATGATATATTTTATTTTTGTGTCTGTTACCACTTTTTCTTAGCTCTCACCGAACCTATATCTTTCAACTATTCGTCAAATGATCACAAATTGACCCTTTACATGCCCGCCCTTAGGGGTTGATTCAAAATGACAACTTTTTCACAAAAATTAATTTTTGAATTGTATTCTGGAAAGTCTTACATTTTTATATATATCTTAAATAAAAGCTAATGAAATATACTTTATTATGGAAACAAAAAATATTTTGGACTTTATTTTGTCTTCACGCTGAAAATGGCTACTAAATGCTATTTTAGTGTGAAAATTCTCGATTTTATTTTTTTCATTTTTAACTTTATAATGGTATAACTTATTGAGAAGTGTATGGATCAATACAATTATTTTATGAAAAATAATATTTATATCTCTCTTTCATTCGACATACTTTATCTTAATCAGAGTATTAATAAGGAAATAGCAGATCATGTAGCTTTAGGAATAATCTACCAATTTTTTAAAATTAAACACTATCTAAAGATTTGCATCGAAGCGTTTTTTTTTATAGTGATTTTAATCACTGTCAGATATCATTATAATTGACCCAACTATTGCACGTCACCACTGTGTCGCGACCCTCCTGTGCTGGGTTTTTTTTTTATTGGAAATGATTAAGCTGAAATTGAATTAAAACTAATCTAAGAGAGTCATGAAATACACTTTTCTCCACATAAAAACATTTCTCAAGAAAGAACAGATTTTGAAGAATTGGCCATAATTTGGTTATAAATAGTAGATATACAAAATTAAAGCTCATAACATAATCTATATTGATACAAGAGCGATTTTTGTTAAGATATTTTAAAATACGTCATAGGCTATTGCAAAATGTAAAAGATCTATTTTTTTTTTAAATACTTATATCTTTTTTTTAATCGTTTTATAAAAAATAGCCTATACTAGGACGAAAGTAATATTATGATCTTTTATTTGATGTGTTGCAATGACAGTTACAAATGACTTTTAAAGAGGATATAAAATGACAATTTGAAAAAAAAACATAGTATGATTATAAAAAATTAATATTTTAGATTATAGTTAATTTTAGGACACAAACACCATATAGCGCTATCTATTGTATAATAATAAACACATATGAGTCAAGTTGTCGTTATCAGCAGATAGCATTATTTTCTTATTCATTAACAATGTTTTATATAATTTGTATAGTAATTTATATACAACTAACTGATTAGACTAAAATAATTTTTAATTGTATCATTCAAATAAATCATAAAGTAAATAAAAATTAAAAAAAAAAAGTTATTATAAATAACCGAGGATTATAAAAGAAATAGATAGATTTAATGGATATAAGGAAAACTTATTTTCAAAATCAATCCGAATACAAAAGTGGAATAAATAAAGGAGGTAAGTTACAACACTCACTAGCGTGAAGAAACAAAAAGTAATTGGGTTATTCATTTTATATTATCCGGGCATTTCAAATGAACTAGATATAATTTATAAAAATTTGGTATAACTATAGTAACATTTAAAAAGAATAATTTAAGAGATGTATTAGATAACCCAAAAGATAAAGCAGAAGAAGAAGGAAATCAGGCATTTATAAAACATAATTTTTAAAACAAAACAATAATTTGCAATAAATGTTGTTCAAGATAAATAAAAAAAAACCCAGCCCAGGGGGATAGCGGCACAGTTGTGACGTAGCAAAGTTGGATCAAGTATAATGATATCTGGCAGTGATTAAAATCACTATCATAAAAAACGCTTCGATGCAAATCTTTAGATAGTATTTAATTTTAAAAAATTGATGGATTATTCCAAAAGCTACATGATCTGCTAGTTCCTTATTAATATCCTGATTAAGATAAAGTATGTCGAATGAAAAAGGGATTATTAAAAAATATTATTTCTCATAAAAAAATTATGTTGATCCATACACTTTTCAATAAGTTATAGCATTATAATGTTAAAAATATAAAAAATAAAATCGAGAATTTTCAAACAAGAATAGCATTCGGTAGCCATTTTCAACGTGAAGACAAAATAAAATCCGACATTTTTTTTTTGCATAATAAATTACATTACATTAGCTTTAATTTAAGATATATATAAAAGTGTCAGACTTTCCGAAACACTTTCAAAATTTAAGATGAAAAAGTAAATTTTTTGTGAAAAAATTGTCATTTTAAATCCCCCCCTGTGGGCAGGTAAAAAGTCAGATTTATAAAAAAAATATACCAACTGATAGGTAAAGACATCATGCATCTATAAAAAAAAATTATATTGATCCATACATTTCTTACAATGTTATAGCATTATAAAGTCAAAAATATAAAAAAGAATTTTTTTACAAAAATCGTATTTTTTTATTAACTTTGATGTCTGTATTCACAGTGAAGATAAATTAAAGACCGAAATTTTATTTTACTATAATAAAGTATATTACATTAGCTTTAATTTAAGATATATATAAAAGTGTCAGACTTTCCGGAACACTTTCAAAATTTAAGTTAAAAAAGTTAATATTTTGTGAAAGTTGTCATTTTAAATCCCCCCTTGTGGGCAGATTAAAGGTTAAATTTATGAAAAAAATATACCAAATGAAAAGTAATGATATCATGCATCTATATAAGANTACCAAATGAAAGGTAATGATATTATGCATCTATATAAAAAAGAATTATATTGATATGTTTATTTTTGAAAAAGTTATGGCACTTTTAAGTAAAAAAAATTGAAAAAATTTCGAAAATTAGCGATTTTTAAATTTGTAATTTTTTTGAAGGTTTCTCCCATTTACGGGGAATGAGGGATTTTTTTTCAATTTTTGAGGGTAATGTCTTTGACTAGATACGATTTGTGATCTTTTGACGTATCATTGAAAGAAATCCGTTCGTTGAGAGCCGAGATAGAGTGGTTACAGACATAAAAAAAAATCTGTAGCTAAGTGGAGTCGCGGCACAGTGTGCACGAGGCATAGATGGAACAAGTATAGATGATATCTGACAGTGATTAAAATCACTATCATTAGAAACGCTTCGATGCAAATCTGTAGATAGTGTTTAATTTTAAAAAAATTGGTGGATTATTCCAAAAGCTACATGTTCTCTTATTTTCTTATTTATATGCTGATATCAAGTTTTATGATTTATAAGTGTAATATATTTATAATATATAAATATATAAAGGAAAATGGTGTTATTTAAAAAATAATTATGTCGAATGAAAAAGAGATATAAATATTATTTCTCATAAAATAATTGTATTGATCCATACATTATTAGATGTATGATTATCCATACATAGATTATTTCAAAAGCAACCATAACTCTTATTCCCTTAATTTTATCCTGATTTATAATTATATTATATGAATACATAATAATTATATTATTATATTATATAATTATAGTAATTAAATTTAGTATGAAAACGATATTCAATAATATTGTAATTTTTACGGAGATATTATAAAAATAAAAAGGAGTTATATATTCATATGCTTTTAACGCGTAAAAAAATTTAAAGGGTTTGATGCAATACTTTTTAATAAAAATACACTAGACTACAAGGATCTTTTAAAGTGTTCCGTAAATACTGCCTCATTTTAACATATGTTAAATTAAAGCGTAGGCTAGGTTCACATGGACGGGCGTATTTAGATATACGAGTTTCTCATACATCGTTCACATGGTCCGCGTATATGCGCGTCGATCGCGATAATGACCCAAGTTTCTATTTTCGTAATACTGCGAATTGAATTATTGTTATTACGATTGGGACCGTTCATTTGACACGCACGTTTACAATGAATCAGCGATTGGATGGACCCAATATTTTCTTTCTTCTTTTTGTCTTCGTCTTCTCATTCTTCGATACACAAACCAAACCCAACACGTCCATTTCCGTTAAATGTATAACACAAACTGTATGTAACAAGAATATTTCGCATCCATGTGAACCCAGCCTTATATTACGTAATATAAATTATAAAAAAAATTTGCCCTGAAAATATATCATCAACTTGCAAATGACTTTCTCAATCATTCAATACGTAATTTTTGTGTTCAAATTTTTTTTTATTTTTTTAACTAATTAGTAATATTATCAAAAATTAGTGTTGACGAAAAATCTAAATGCATACGATCGCAAAATCAAAATCTTCCTAGTTTTGCATTGAATCTAAAATAAGAATAAACAAATAACAAAGGTAAAAATACCGATTTTAGCATTACAATTAAACTGTGTATAGATATGATAATTACGTCAGCGGAATAATTAAGTAAATATGTTGTATGATGAACACGTATACTTGAATAAAAATAAATTTTTTTTCCAAAAACTAATAAAATAATTTTAATTGTATTAGAAAATTCATATGAATAATACTTAATATTCATATTGCAACTAGTGTCGACATTTTTTTTAAGTTGAACTCTGTAGGGAATCAACTTAATATAAATAAGTGGTAAAATGAAAAACTTTTTACTTTTCATATTGATGATATCCTTAAAATTAAGCTTAAGTGAATATGAAAAACAGGTACAGTGTACATATTATCGTTATTTTCTAAACTTTTTTAACCATAATGAAAGATTTTTGTTAGAATTCGAAAAAAATAATAATAATTTAACAATAGAAAATCTTATGAACTATGGCAAAGCACTTCAAACACACAGTGAAGTAATTATGATATTTTTGAATGAATTTTTTGTATGTAGATCAAAAAAGTTTCCTTTTACATTGATGACGTTAAATATGTACTAAAAATAACGTTTCTGGTTCTTTAAATATGATTGCTCAAAACAAAGATGGTGAAAAAAATGACGCTAAAAAATTATTCGAGGGTTATAAAATTATTAATTTTGCAGTTAAAAATCAACTGGAAATTTACATATATAATAGTTGTGTAAACATACCGTTTAATGATAATATGGTTAGTTGCAATCCTCCAATCGGTGAAAATGGATATAATACGAATAATCTAATAAATATAAATAATAAACTCAAAGATAGAATGCTGAATAAATTTAAGTCTTCATTAAAATCGAATTCATACAACAAATATCATCCAAACATTTTTTTGTATTATGAAATAATGACCCTACAGATTTACAGCAATAAAAATAATACTATAAGCATAGATAATAGTCAACACATAGAACTAAATCTACTTCGATTCACTCCACTTGACTTTCAATGCTCTATGGATAATCCTTTAACTATACAAGATGTATTTCAGGATATGAAATATGATTTTAATTCTATGGATGTTTTACCGTACATAAAGTTGGTAATTTCGGCTACGTTTCGACCCTTAGCTATTCTTATTCGCAACTTCTTAATCTTAATTCAAGTTGCTTCTTCAGATAATTCTGATAGTGTAACAGTTTGGTTAAAACCGCAATTTATTGAGATGGGACAAAAAATAATAGAACATGTAATGAAATTCATAACTCTCTCCCCTTACCAATATAAAAGGACATTTCTACAACGTGATATCTTAGAACAGTTTATTGAAGCCAATAAAAATTACATTGAAAAAACAAGGTTGTCCAAAATTGATATTGAAAATAATAATATATTAATCAATACACTTTCAAATTACTTCATCAAAAATAAATTTTACTTTACAAGAGGTATAGTTCTAACCAATAAAAATATTACTGTGGATAATGCTGATGATATTAAAAATCAATTAGAAGAAATTATTGAAAAAGTTGATATCTATATGAAGGATTTAGAAAAATGGGATAATTATTTAAATTTTAATGTACAAAAATTTAAAATCCGATTTTTTAATATTTCAAAATATAAGAAATTTATTGATTTTAAAGTTTTAGGTAAGTATAAATGTAGTTCATTTTCATTACTTTATATAATTTATAGATAATATAGTCTGTTATATATTTGTATATTATATATATGTGTTGTTATCGGGCTTATAATATGAAGTCTTCTTCTTATTTTTCTTCGCCTTAATTCCAACTACTTGGGGTCGGCCACCCTTATCCTAAACTTACACTTGATACGATCACCCACATCATCCGTCCTCATATAACATTCAAAGATATTCAAATCATCTCAGTTTTGGTTTTTCCTTTAACCTCTTCTTCCTTTAACATTTATTTCTAAATCTGTTCTTATAGTTTCCGATTCCTCTCTCCTCATAAATTGACCAAACTATCCAAGTCTATTTTCTCTTATCTTTTCTACGATTGTCGACTCACATATACTACCCTNATTGACGACTCACATATACTACCCTTTATATTTTCGTTCGTTCGTATAGTTACTCTACTCATTCATCTATCCATTATCATCTCTTCTACACTTATTTTCTGCTCTACTTTCTTGTCAACTGCCTAACACTCTGAATCCATACATCATAGCTGGTCTCACTGTAGTTTTATAGAGTTTACTCTTCAGCCTCATCGGAATTCTTTAGACACGCTAGACGCTTTTCTCTACTTTAATCTCATGTCTTACATCCTTGTCAATACCACCGCTCTTTTGCACAACTGATCCTAAATACTTAAAACTTTCCACCTATCCTATCACGTCCTCGCATATTGTCACTAAACTTTGATTTCATCTAACTCGTGTTTTCCTTTGTCAAACTCGTACTCTATATAATCTGTCTTACTTCTACTTATTATTAAACCTTTTTCTGATCTCCACACCTCTAGCCTTTTAATGATATCCTTCCTATTTTTCCTATTAACACTATATCTTCAGCGAACAACATATATCACGGCACTTCATCTTGTATTTCTCTAGTAATTTCATCCATTATTATTGAAAATAAGTAAGGGCTAAAAATCAGAACCTTGGTGCTCTCTTACTCTTACCTGAAAACCTCCTGTTATTCTTCCTACGCTTTTTACCCTGGTACAAGTGTCATCATACATATCTTCTATTCTATTAATACCTTTTCGGGACTCCTTTTCTCATTAATGCCCACTTTAAAACCTTTCAATAATGTATGAATAAGGCAAATAATTCAAATTTTGTAACTTATACTTTTATTTATTTCCATTATTTAAATACAGTGTGATCAAAATCTGGGAAGACACTCATTTTCTCATAGACTATTGAAAATTTGTAATTTTTGTGATGAGAAAAAATATCAGGTTCAAAAAACTATAACACAATATGTAGTTAATTAATATTATTAATGGGAACCTTCATTTTTAAATTTATAATATGAAAAAAAATTGCAAACAGAGATATATAAAGAATAAAATTTTTATTAATTTATAATTTCTCCAAATAACTACTTAATGTAAAGGGTGAATTTGTTTAATGGGATGTTAATGGAAAATAAGCAAAATGTGTTTTATGTTTTATTATAAAAATATTTGGAATGGGTAAAATTTGATCCTCAATTTCCTTTTAATAATATTTAATCAAAATTTTATTTGAAATCTTTATCATGTTTATGTTTACAGAAGTTATTTGTATTTATGCAATTTTAAAATCCTTATTTATTTATTTTAGATCATATTTGTAATATTGAGGCACGTTCTGAAATATACAATGCTAGTAAGAATGATAGCAATAATATTAACATAGGATATTTTAAAGATATGGAAATTGTGGAATATAATTTAAAGGATCTAAAAGATGACCATGATGAAATTGATAAAGATACAAAATGCTGTCTCTCTAAATATGATTTATCTTTTGAACCTCTTCATATCATTGATTATTTGCCATACCATGTGTACAATGATATAAAATAAAATGTTTTTATAAATAATACTGTTAAATGTCATAACTTATTTACAAATTCTTTTATTTCCATTTAATGATAGAAAGTCATTTTTTTTCACGCTATCAAATCGGTTTCTCTTAACAAATTGACGGACATGACTGCTATAACAGTCACGCTCTTGGCTGTAATTACAGATTCACTTTAATATCTCATAAATAATTTTTTGGAATAAAAAATGCATCAGAGCTTTTTTCTTTATAAATATGATACAAAAACAATGAAAACAAAAAAAAAATGTTACTGCTGCTATAGTTGTAGTCCACTCGTGACTTTTTTCTACTCGTATAACCATATCACTGTTATAGCAGTTAAAGTCAAATTACGTCTTAAAACACAATCACTTCTATAGTAGTGACTGTCCATCAACGTGTTAAGATGATAAAATTATGTTAAAAAAATTATTTTTTAAATTTTTCATGATTTTTGATTTTTTGAAAAAAATCACAAATTGTGTCTAGTTGAATATTTTTTCTCATAAGTTAAAAATTCTCCGTGCCACGTAATTAGGGAAGTCCTTAAAAAAAATTACAAAATTAAAAATCATTAATTTTCGAAATTTTTTTCTTTAAATTAATTTGTGAACATTAACATTATAATAGTTCTCACAATAATATCATTATTATGTGACACCATCACAATTTTAAACCCATAAAAGATTTTTACGTAGTATATTTTAATCTCTTTAAAGTCATTATGTTAAGGTTGACTTGGAAACATTTCTTGTACCTTTAATACCAAAATATCAATTTCGTAGAACCTTTTGTAAAAGAATGGCTTCTAATATTGAATATATTTTATTAAATTTATTCCAAAAAATAGAAACGGATCAGTTGATGAAGATGAGTTTCCAAATTATATACGAAAGTATTATGTGGAAATAATAAAAGAATTAAAATTTACATTAACAGATATTTGTGTTCCTTTGGCATGCGTTGCAATAAAGCCAATATTTTTGTTTGGTAATGAGGTTCCCAAAAGAGCAGATAAACCACCTCATAATCCTGAAGATCCTGAAACTGTTAAATATTACAACATTTTTAAAAAATATCGAACATTATCCTGAATATGTTAGCTATGATATACCATTATTAATTAGATAATTTTATTTTATTTAATAATTTTAATTAGGTAATTAGATCATTTATAAATTACATAAACAATATCATAGACAATAATATTTGAATAAAATCAAATATTATTGATTAATAGTAGTTATTAACGCTAATTACTCGTTTTTTCTTACTCTATTATTTTTTGGGGGATTTTAGGTCTACTCTTTATTTTTTAAAAACGAAATATTTATTTTTACTCTATAATTTAATAAAGTTATTTTTTTAATAATGAATGGCGTTTGAAATTTTATTACACTTTATTTATTTATTTTATAATTCATTCTAAAGTTTTTTATTTTTAGAGCTATATTTATGTACAAAATAAGAGGGTTATATAAATACAGGTAGCTAATATTTGTTTAACTGCATATTTACACATTAATTATTGCCAATTACAACTTTATAGGCAAATAAGATTTAGTATATGGATAATTGTCAGAACAGTTTACCTTAAGTTTAACAGTTTGTCTTAGCTCACTTCATCATTTCCATTCCTGAAATATATAAAGCATTTTAAATTCTTTATTAAAATGTTAGTTTAAGTATACTTTGACACAATAATACTATCAAGTTACCTAAGTATTTTATTTATCAATGTTTGTTAACGTGATTATTTAATATAATTAAAATACATATTATTACTTATAATAATAACAAATAATATGATGTTATCATTTGTACATGTATGTCACATATTATGAATATACACGTTTAATTTCTAAAAGATTTAATAATTAATCGTAACATAATAGTACGTGTATAATATAAAATGTCAAAACATATAATATAAGAGATGTACAACGGCAACGGGTCACTTTACTTGTTAGACGGCAACACTACGACTAAATTTTAAACATATAACAATAGGCTGCATTGAGTAAAACAACATAATCGAGAAAGGAATGTGTCCCTTTTTACCTTGTACTATACTAACATAAATAAAATTACATTAAATTGTTATCTTAAATAATATTACTGTGTGTTGTTTAATAATATCAACACATCCCCTTAAAAAATACACCCATATATTGTTAATTAAAAAAAAACCCAGCACAGGGGGGTCGCGGCACAGTGGTGACGTGGTATAGATGGATCAAGTATAATGATATCTGACAGTGATTAAAATCACTATCAAAAAAAAACGCTTCGATGCAAATCTTTAGATACTGTTTTATTTTAAAAAATTGGTCGAATATTCCAAAAGCTATATGATCTGCTAGTTCATTATTAATATCCTAATTAAGATAAAGTATGTAGAATGAAAAAGGGATTATTAAAAAATATTATTTCTCATAAAAAAATAATGTTGATCCATACACTTTTCAATATGTCATAGCATTATAAAGTTAAAAATGTAAAAAATAAAATCGAGAATTTTCACACAA